GGCGGGAGCGCCGTCGCGCTCCCAAGCAGCGCACTGTAGCAGTGCGCCACCGGGCCGGCCCGACCAATACCACACTTTTGATTACTGCAGCTTTATAGTAAGTCTTGAAGTGACGTAGTGTTGGTCCTCCAATTTTGTTCTTCTTCAATATTGAGTTGGCTATTCTGAGTCTTTTGGTTCTCCATATAAACTTCAGAATTAGTTTGTCAATAGCCACAATAGTACACAATATGTACTTCAAAAAGTGCATGGAAAAATAGAATTGAAAAATAACACAAATCTTTTCATGAACTTTTTTGAATTATCCTCATATATCTTGCTGGTATTTTGATTGGAACTACACTGAATCTGTAGGTCAAATTGGGAAGAACTGGCATCTTGACAATAGCAAATCTTCCTGTCCATGATCATGGAAGATCTCTCCATTTATTTACTTCTAATTTGATGTTATTCATCAGAGTTTTGTAGTTTTCCTTGTATAGATCTTGTACATATTTTGTTAGATTTATACCTAAGTATTTCATTTTTGGGGATGAGAATCTAAATTTTAATATAAATTTAATTTCAAATTCCACTTGTTCATTAATGGTATATAGGAAAATGATTGATTTTGTATATTAATGTTTTATCCTGCAATCTTGCTGTAATTGCTCATTAATTCAGAAGTTTTTTTGGTCAATTCTTTCAGATTTTCTCCATAGATGTTCATGTCATCTCCAAACAAAAATAGTTCTATTTCTTCTTTCCCAATCTACATACCTTTTATTGTGTTAGCTAAGACTTTGAGTATGATGTTGAAAAGGAATAGTAAGAGAAAATTTTTGCCTTGTTCCTGATGTTAGTGTGAAAGCTTTGAATTTCTCAACATTAAGGAGGATGTTAATTGTAGGTTTTTTTGTAGATGATCTTTATCAAGTTGAGGAAATTCCCCTCTATTCCTAGTTTGCTGAGAGTTCTTATCAGGAATGGTGTTGATTTTGTCAAATGCTTTTTTTGCATCTATTGATATAATCATGTGATTTTTCTTCTTTAGTCTGTTGATGTGATAGATTACATTCATTGAGTTTTAAATGTTCAGCCATGCTTGCATACCTGGGATAAATCCCACTTGGTTGTGGTATATAATTATCTTTATACATTGTTGGATTTGATTTGCTAATATTTTGTTATGGATTTTAGCATGTATGTTCATGAGAGATACTGGTCTCTAGTTTGCTTTTCTTGTAATGTCTTTGTCTGGTTTTGGTATTAGGATACTGCTGGCCTCATAGAATGAGTAAGGGAATATTCCTTCTGCTTCTGTCTTCTATAAGAAACTATAGAGAATTTCTTCTTTAAATGTTTGGTAGAATTCACCAGTGAACCCATCTGAGCCTGGTGCTTTCTGTTTTGGAAAGTTATTCATTATTGATTCAATTTCTTTAATAGATATAGACCTATTCAGGTTATATATTTCTTATGTGAGTTTTGGCAGATTGTGACTTTCAAGGAGTTGGTCCTTTTCATCCAGGTTATCAAATGTGTGGGCATGGAGTTGTTCATAATGTTCCTTTATTATCCTTTTTTTCCCCCCAATTTTATTTTATTTTGTCAATATACAATGTGGTTGATCATTGTGGCAAACTACCGAAACCTTCCTCCCTCCTCCCTCTTCTCCATCCCTCCCAGCAATGTCCTTTCTGTTCGCTTGTTGTATCAACTTCAAGGAATTGTAATTGTTATATCTTCTTCCCTTCCCACCCCCCTGGTTTTTTGTGTATTTATTTATGTATTTTTAGCTCTCACAAATAAGTGAGAACATGTGATATTTTTCTTTCTGTGCCTGACTTGTTTCACTTGTTATCCTTTTAATGTCCACGTGATCTGTAGTGATGTCTACTCTTTCATTTCTGATATTAGTAATTTGTGTCTTCTGTCTTATTTTCTTAGTCTGGCTAGAGGTTTATAGATTTTATTGATCTTTTCTAAGGACCAGCTTTTGTTTTTATTGATTTTCTCTATTAATTTCCTGTTTTCAATTTCATTG